CAGTGCTGTCACCTGGCCGAGTTAAACTTTTACAAACGTTTACACGCTTTGCAAAGAGCTGGAAGAAGCGGAGAAGACACCCTTACCTTGGGAAGGAGGCGCCGGCCAGCTTCCGGCTCTGCTACAACTCTGATCGCGGTTCAGCCGGTGGGAGGGGCCAGAGGATCCCCATGAAGGCGGGGAACTTCCCAAACCCAAGCCCAAGTCCAGCTGCAGAACTCGACCTGCAAGATGGGATCCTTGAGGGCGCGCGGTCTGAGCTGCACATTCTGTTTCACACCGAGGAACTTTTTTCTTTCTTTTTTTGCCAACTGGTCATTGTTTTTCTGAGAGAATTGGGTTTTTGTCTTTAGCTACGAAAGCATGTGAAAACAGGCTATAGGATGTGAAGGCAAACGAAAGAACCTATTTGCCATTAGGTAGGGTTAACCAGATTCAGCAAATTAAAATATAAGACACCTGATTAAATTCGAATTCCAGATAACCAATCATTCCTCAGCGTCAGTGTTGTCTTACGCAATACTGGCTGCGAATTATATTTTTTAAAGGGATCCGTTGCTTTTCTGAAATTCGAATGTACCCTGGCAGCCCTGTCATCCAGGAAATAACAGTGAATAGCAAGCTCTCGCATTCACTTCAAAAGACACAAGAGAGTCGGACTGCAGAGAACTGAAACTTGAACGTGTGAACGACGCAGAGCAAAGGAATGATTTTATTTTGGATAATGTGCCCTGAAGTTGAGGAGTGCTGTTTCTTTTTAAGCCTTGAATCTTGTTTTTTACAAGATTCTTTGGAGAGAAAAAAAATGGGGCCGGGAAGGGAAGATGCATGTGACACTGAGACGCCCGGCCTCACACTGTGACTAACACACACGCGCAGACGGGAGGCACGGCCAGGCCTGTGAGCTCCGTAAACTCTAAAGCGATCCTAAGAGGCGATTCAGAGGGGGGAGCGCGCCCTCGAGTTCATCTCTCTCCTTAGAACTAGTCCCCACTAACCAGAGCCCCTCGGCCCCTGCAGGGTGAGCAGAGGCTGGTTTCCACGGCTCCCAGTGGCTCCCAGTGGCTCCCAGTGGGAGAGGAGAGCAGAAGTCAGCTGCCCCTCCGGCCACGGCGCCTGCAGCTAGAGCAGACGCTGTCCAGGAGGAGCCCCACTGAGTGACACTGTGTGAGCCAAAAGCAGAGGAGAAAGAGCCATGAAGCAACAGCTCTCACTGTGATCGCAGTCTCTCACCCTAAGCAGCACCACTCGGGAAGGAAAGCGTTCATGGTGAGGCTTAGCACCGCCCCAAACCACCCTCCTGGCTTATCACTCCCCCAAAGGCCCGCTCTAGTCCCCTATCACCGCCTCCCAGCTCCCCGCACTGGCAGGCTGTCAAGAGGAAGCCAAACTGACTGCGATGTGCCGTGGAGCCTGGGCCCTGAGAAGTGGGCCCGCCGGAGTGCTGTTTCTTTTTAAGCCTTGAATCTTGTTTTTTTACAAGATTCTTTGGAGAGAAAAAAAAAATGGGGCTGGGAAGGGAAGATGCATGTGACACTGAGACGCCCGGCCTCACACTGTGACTAACACACACGCGCAGACGGGAGGCACGGCCGGGCCTGTGAGCTCTGTAAACTCTAAGGGATCTTAAGAGGCGACTCAGAGGGGGGAGCGCGCCCTCGCGTTCATCTCTCTCCTTAGAACTAGTCCCCACTAACCAGAGCCCCTCGGCCCCTGCAGGGTGAGCAGAGGCTGGTTTCCACGGCTCCCAGTGGCTCCCAGTGGCTCCCAGTGGGAGAGGAGAGCAGAAGTCAGCTGCCCCTCCGGCCACGGCGCCTGCAGCTAGAGCAGACGCTGTCCAGGAGGAGCCCCACTGAGTGACACTGTGTGAGCCAAAAGCAGAGGAGAAAGAGCCATGAAGCAACAGCTCTCACTGTGATCGCAGTCTCTCACCCTAAGCAGCACCACTCGGGAAGCGTTCATGGTGAGGCTTAGCACCGCCCAAACCACCCTCTCCGGCTTATCACTCCCCCAAAGGCCCGCTCTAGTCCCCTATCACCGCCTCCCAGCTCCCCCCACTGGCAGGCTGTCAAGAGGAAGCCAAACTGACTGCGATGTTCCGATGTTCCGTGGAGCCTGGGCCCTGAGAAGTGGGCCCGCCAGCCTCCCCCGGTCAGGCCTCCACATTAGTCCTCACCGTGAGGTTTCAGGACCACTCTGCGACCCGTAAAAATCACTGTGACCCGGCTGGTGCGGCTCAGTGGGTCGGCCTATGGACCAGGAGGTCACAGTTGGACTCTGGGCCAGCGCACATGCTGGTTGTGAGCTCGATCCCCAGTAGCGGGCGTGCAGGAGGCAGCCGATCCATGATTCTCTCATCATTGGTGTTGCTCTCTCTCTCCCTCTCCCTTCCGCTCTGACATCAACAAAAATAAAAAGAGGCTGTGGCAGCCAAGAGGACACCTTGCCACCTGCACAGAGAAGAAGACAGGGGTGCTGCCCAGCGGACGGAGAACACATCGTAGACAGAAAAAAGGGGCGACAAACACCACTTGTTTCACAGAATGTGTGGGACAGCACCGTGGGCTCCAAGGAGGAATGATGACCCTAGAAGCCCAGGGAGCCCCCCGGACACGGTTCCCCCCTTCAACCCGCCCAGGGAAACGGGAACAGGGCTGTGGCTGCCCGCAGCGCCCCAGGTGAAGGCAGGAGCAGTCCTTTCCCACCAGCCTCCGCTGCAGGGAACCTGCGGGCAAACACGGAGCTGAGCTCCTGCTGAGGCATCGAGCGCAAACCAGGTGAGCAAGCCCGACTCCACCTGGGCCAGGCGAGCTGAACCGTGTGAGCAGAGCAAGGGGCCCGGAAACGGGGCGCGGGCGGGGGGCAGTGGGCCAGCGAGTCTGAGAGTCTGACGGATGAGTCTGGATGGAGCCCAGGGCCTGGTGCCCTTTCATGCGAGACCGGGCTGGCCTGGGCAAGTCAGGGCCTCCTGATGGGTAAAAGGCCAGGAGCTCCACACACCCCTCAGGCTTCCCAGACGCCCAGGCAATGCCCAGCTGTCACCTCCCACTTCCCGGGGGCACAGCCACCCCAGGCCCCACCCACGCTCAGGTGGAGGGGCCACCCGAGGCAGGGATCCCGGAGACAGAGGTCACTGGGGGCCATTTTTGAGTCTCTCTACCTCAAACTGACTTATGAAAACCAAGCCACTGGGGGTCCGCGGGTGGCCCTCGCGCTGCCTGAACAGAGGGCCGCGTAGGAGGGAGGCAGGCGTGTTTGACAGCGAAGCCCCTGTGAGTCAAAGCGCAGGGACCTGGAGGGACTAGCAGACAGCATGGGCCAGACCAGCCTGGCCAGGAAGCCCAGGTTTGGAGTCAGTAACTGCGACCGTCCACAGGGGGGCAGTAGCTGCTGGGAAACTGAGTAAGACCAGCTGAGGGCCAGGTATCTTCCCACCTGGCCACCCAGGCTGTTTTCTGTCTGATTATTGGAAGGAGGGGGCGTGACTGGTCTCTTCCTACCCACCACCCCCAGCACGACCCACATAGGTCCCTGGATCCCTCCCGCCGCTCCTAGGACAGCAGCGAGGTCTTAGGGAGGGGAAGGCGGCCTGAAACAGGAACTTGGGGAGACCCTCCTTAGCAGATGCAGTTCCAGGGCTACCTTACATTAAAACAGGCTCTACACCTGCTCTGGGGAAGAGCCAAGTGGTTCAGAGTTGACACGAATGGGGGACTCCCAGGGGGAGAGAAGGTATCAAATAAAAGGGGGGATGTTGTGTCTACAAACAAGAGATACTAAAGAGGAAGGCTTGGTGCCATGTACACGCCTACACACACTCACATGTTCACATGCACGCTGCACAGCAGCTCAGCGTTAGCGTGACCAGTCGGAGCAGGCAGATCTGACATGGACGAAACAGGACAAAACCCTGTGGATCAGAATGTGCCAGGGAAGGTTGTATTACCAGAGAAGCTTGATTACCTGTGCTGAGGTGTAAACTCAGAAATATTTTATATATATATATATTTTTGTTTGTTTGTTTGTTTGTTTGTTTGTTTATTCAGAGAGGAAGGGAGAGGGAGAGATAGAAACATCAAATGATGAGAGAGAATCATGGATCAGCTGCCTCCTGCACGCCCCACACTGGGGATCAAGCCCACAACCCAGGTAAGTGCCCTGACTGGGAATCGAACCGTGACCTCCTGGTTCAGAGGTCAATGCTCCATCACTGAGCCACGCTGGTCGGGCACCTCACCTGGATTCTTGTGATGTGCCCCTCGCCACCCTCCCTGGTCACACCTTTGCCCTCCTGTAGACTGCTGTCCACCAAGCAGTCTGTTCTGAAGCCCCAGGCGGGGCCTCACTCATGTCACCCAGAGTAAAGCCAAGTCCTTCGAATCGTCTACAAAACTATGCAGTCAGGCCTCTTCCCTCCCTGACCTTCTCTCCTACTCGGCTCTGGCCACATGGACTGTTCAGACTTTGTACTGACCAGCAATGTGAGTACACAGGGTGCTGGACAAATAAGAGGGGGGCTCTGCGGGGGGCGGACCAGAGCTGCTTCCCAACAGAGGCCTGCACACTCCCGGTCCTACAGCTCTGAGGGGCGTGATCCCACCCCAGGCGCTAAACTCCAGCCTTGGGGATGTTCTCTAACGCTGGGGTTTGAAGGGTTCACAATTGGGAGTGAGTGAGCCAACACCTGCTCTCCACACCCTCCGCAGCCTCGCCATTGGCCACAGCTGCCTGCTGACATCTGCCAACAGGACAGTTAAAAATAGGCGGGGACACCCTCAGAGCAGTCGGTGATGGTACAGCCGGCCGTGTTTGTTTGTCGGGTCAGTTGGCTCCCAACGTTTTTGCTTGTGAACCCTTAAAAGAAACTGGAAATGCTATGTATCCTTCACGAATTTTCTGAGTTGACAACCTAATATTTTTTAATATGTCTACAAGTGTCTTTATCTATGGATTAATATTACTGTAGTGCTAGTCTGAGTCAGGGTTTAGCTAGGCCTGTTTTTCATTTATATTTATGGCACTAAAACACCTTGTTCTTTTTTATATATATAAAATACATTTTTATTGTTTTCAGAGAGGAAGGGAGAGGGAGAGAGAGAGAGAAACATCAACGATGAGAGAGAATCATTGATCGGCTGCCTCCTGCATGCCTCCTACTAGGGATCGAGCCTGCAACCTGGGCATGTGCCCTTGACCGAAATCGAACCCGGGACCCTTCAGTCTGCAGGCCGACACTCTATCCACTGAGACACACCGGCTGGGGCTAAACCTTGTTCTTGTATATCAGTAGATGACAATGAAAGTGTTATTAGCAAACTTTAAAATATACTAAGTTCGGGCACAACCTGAGAGAGAAGGAAAATCGTGGGAATGTGAAGTCATTGGAAGCAAAAGGAAAATGC